ATGATGAATAAGATAGCCAAAATTTTATGAAACAAATTGACAAAAAAGAAGCAAAATCTTTATCTCTCACACATTTCCATTCTCTCTCTCACACACACACACTTTCTCATAGGTACATACTCTCATATGTACACATATTGAGTGGGGAAAACTGAGAAATCATGACAAAAATTAAAATGGCAGCAGTAATTTTCCCTGATAATTTTCTAATGAAATATTTATAAACGTATCCTCTCAGCAAAAAATGCATCATGCATATAGAATTGAGTAGTAGTAGAAATTGCAGTTGCTCTATGCTACAGAGCAAATATTACACATCAAAGATAACTACTTGAAAGACATTATGCTTTTTAGTACTTGGTCAATGTTTTTTATAATTGGGTAATTAAAATAGTTGTCTTTTAATAAATATCAAATTAATTTAGTTTTCACCACTACCAAAAAGGTTGCTATTATTTCAAATAGCAAGGAGAGTAAGTCCAGTTCAGCGGTTCAGAACCAGGTAGCGCAAATGTATATTCTGTTTCTATTACTAGGTGAGTGACCTTTGGCAAGTTATTCAACTCTCTGTGCCCCAATTTTTCTCTAAATAAAATGGGCTTAATGATAACTTGGGTTTCACATGTCATGATCCACATAGTTGAAAGACTCTGAGTAGTCAGTAAAGCACAGGTTAACATCTTTCTGGTATTCTGTGCTTTCAGCCAAGATCCATCTGACATCAGTAATGATATCCCTCAGTACACATCCTTGTCTGGCTTGGGTCTAAACCTCTGGCATTTTTCTGTCAATGTATTGTTGCAGCTACTTTTGAATTATCTTTAGCAAAGTTTTACTTCCTTTTGATAGTAGTGATACTGTTTGATGATTTCTGCATTCTGTTGGGCCACCTCTCTTTGAAATGGGTGCAATTATGGATCTCTTCCAATCAATTGGTCAGGTAGCTGTCTTCCAAATTTCTTGATATAGATTCAGTCAGTGTCTCCAGTGCTGCCTCAGTTTGTTAAAAGATTTTTTTTTTGTATTACATCATTTCTTGGCGTCTTATTCTTTGCCAATGTCTTCAGTGCACCTTGGACTTCTTCATTCAGTATCATTGGATCTTGCTCATATGCTACCTCTTTTTTTTAACCTGGTCCCAGCCAAACAACAGCTTTATTACTGGTACTGGTGTATAGGTTTTTAGGACATAGTAGACGTTAATACTGTGTTACAAATACTTCACTCAACACCAGCTCTCAACATAAATTGGGTTCCTGGCAAAGGGGGCAACTCCTAAGGGAGTCCATGTTCTGGGTCCCTTTATTGACTGCCCGAGTGTCCACCAGCAGGCATCTAGGGCTGGGGCTCTGTCTGGCCCTGCCACTTGGCCATCATCTGCTGGTAACTCCCTTTGCCTTCCTCAAAGCACTTCTTCTCATCCTGTCTCAGGCAACAGCTGGGGTATGGGCAGTGACCTGCCCTCCTGGCTTAGGGACATGTAGATGAAGAAGGCACTGGCAGCCCAGTACCGCTACTGTGGATTGTCCACCATGGGGTCAGCGTCCATTAGAACCTCAATCTCCATGGGCTTGTTGCTTGTGAAGGTCATGCACCCCGAAATGGTGATGACACACCCTTTTCTAATCTTGTCGTGGAAATTAATGGCATCCACCAAGGCTGTGACGACGTTGGTCTTGCAGTGGCTGGCAGCCATGGTCTGAGCCACCTCATCCATGAGCTTCATGGTGACACCTCCATGTTCAAAGCCATACACGGTGCAGTCCAGAGGCCCCACCAGGTGGATCAAGCTGGACTAGTTGTAGCTGATGGTTTTGGGCTCTTGGTCTCCATGCGCTCCAGCGTCTGGGCTTCATACCCCTTGTGGTCCTCCTCATCCTGCTTCTGGTGGGAGTACACGACAGGGGGCACCTGGAGGACCTTGTCTTCATTCTTCAGCTACAGGGGCACGTACCACAGCTTGGCCTTGCTGGTCTTTTTTTTTGTATCTGTGTGGATGTTTTCTGACATGATGTTGACCTGTACTTCCACAGAATCCTTGGAGGTATAGGTAATCTTTGCGCTGACATGAACGACCGCACCAATGCACGTGGGTGACAGGAAGTCAGTGCGCTGGACTCAGGCCAAGCCAGCCACACTTTGCTCCCCGTTCTGGCTGTTAGAGTGGCGGGTGCTGCTGATGGCCCCTGCCTCCTCAGTCATCTTCAGGCTGGTCCCTCCATAGATGTTGCCCGCAGCATTGGCGTCATCTGGCCGCATGATCCGGCAGAACTGGATTGCGGGTGGGATCTCTGCGACCGAACCGACATGCTGACAGCAGCAGTAGTGGTGGCCTTGAAAAAGCTGAACATCGTCCATTTCTTTTTGGTACAGTGACCCTGTATTCTGTCCATCTTTTGATGCTTTTTGCATCATTCAATATTTTGCTAATATAATCCTTCAGTCTTTCAAGTTGAGGTGTGAATTTTTTCTTCAGTATCCTGAGAAATGCTGAGCATATTCTTCCTTTTTGGTTTTCTAACTCCAGGTCTGCACTTTTCATTATAGTATTTAACTTTGTCTTCTCCAGCTGGACTTTAAATTTTCTATTCAGCTCTATTACCTCATTCCTTCCATTTGCTTTGGAATCTCTGCTCTGTAGAGAAGCTTTAGAGTCTTGTTTGAAATCCATTTTGGCCTCTTCCTTCTTCCTTATCTTCTTAATGACCTTTTGCTTTCTTCGCGTCCTACAGCTTTTCTGGTCTTTGGTCATTAGTGTTTTATTTATCAAGTCTGTTCTTGAGATGATCTCTAAATTTAGGTGGAATATGTTCAAGGTCATTGTTTGGCTTTTGTGGACTGGTTTTAATTTACTTTAACTTCAGTCTGAATTTGCATATAAGCAATTGCTGATCTATTCCATACACTGTCCATGTCATGTTTGGGCTAGTATGGAGGATTTCCACTCTTTCTTTCTTCAGATGTAGTCAGTTTGATTTCTGTGTATTCCATCTTGTTTGATCCTTATGTACAGTCATCTTTTATGTTGTTTAAAATAGGTATTTGCCATGTAGAAGTCGTTGGTCTTGCAAATTTCTATCATTATCTCCGTTATCATTTCCATCACCAAGGCCATATTTTCCAACTACTGATCCTTCCTCTTTGTTTCCAACCTTTACATTCTAATCACCAGTAATTATCAGTATATCTTGATTACATGGTTGATCAATTTCAGGCTGAACACTTTGGTAGAATTCTTCAGTTAAATCATCATTGGCTTTAGTGGTTGGTGCATTAATTTGAATATTTGTGGTATTAATTGGTCTACCTTGTAGATGTATAGGTATAATCCTATCACAGACATCACTGTACTTCAAGGTAGATCTGGAAATGTTCTTTCTGATGATGATGTGATATCATTCCTCTACAGTTTGTCACTCCCTGCATAGTAAACCATGTGAGTGTGAGATTCCAATTGGGCAATACCCATCCTTTGCAGCTCACTAATGACTCGGATATCGATGTTTATGCATTTCATACCATTTTGTATAACTTCCACTTTTCCTAGATTCATACTTCCTACATTCCTTGTTCTGATTATTACTAGATGTTTATAGATGTTTCTCCTCATCTTCAGTTAGTGCTCCATCAGCAAATGTAGGTCCCAAAAACCTTACACCATTCTCTTTATTACGGTCAACTCTAATTTGAGGAGGCAGCTCTTGCCCAGTTGTATTTTGAGTGCCTTCCAACCTGAGGGCTTCACTTTTTGGCATTATATCTGACAAGGTTCTGCTGCTCTTCATCATGTTTTCATCTTCTGTTAGTGTATCTGACAATGTGGTAATTGCCAGCTCTATTATATTCTGACCCAGATTGCTTTTCATATTGTTGATGTGCCTCAGCTTTTTAATTTTTTTTTAACCTAATTGCTATTTAGCTCATAAATATGGGGTCATGGCAGAGCAGACAGTGATGTTATAGATGAGGGGTTATGGTGGGTATTTTATATATAAATATATATGTGAGTGTGTGTGTATATAGTAGTGGTGAGCACAGTAGCTTGCATGTAGAAATTGTACTTAGTAGATATTTATTGCATTCATAAGTTTATGAAATTGATTATGATTGAGTATATTTTATCAAACTCATTTTAAAAAGTGTTCTGCTCTTCTCTAAAAAGACTTTTTTCTGTTGATCACATATGTCTTGTTGGAAACGTTGTGTGGCATTTTGACCTGTCTCATTTTGTTTGTCCTCTGGACCTTGTTAAGTCTAAATGATAAAATTACTAAAAGTTTTTTTTTTTTTTTTTTTTTTTTTTTAAACAAATGGAATGTCTTTTAGGTGCTTGAAAGACAGTTTCAAGTGTAATTTTTTTTTTCTTCTTAAAGTTAATATATACTTTTTTAACACAGAAAAAAAACCCAAAACAAACATTTTGGTTGCCAACTAAAACAAGTTTGTATTTTCAGGTTTATTTTTTCCCATCTTTATTAAAGGTTGGAAAGACAGAAGAGAATGTTTTCTCTGTGTGAGGTATGGTTTAAAGAGCATTTATGTGGCAAATAAAGATCATATATATCATAGTGAAATATCAATAATGATGCAAAAATCATGTTTCTATCCTGTTTGGGCATATTTTTCAAAAATTTTAAGAGTTAGTTTCTGTATTTTATCTAAATAGAGCAGATAATATAACTTAAATAATGTTATTTCAGTAATAAACGTGTTTGTTTCCAAGACAACTGTTAGCTATCTAGGCTCTCTAAATATGTAACAAAAATTTCACAGATTAGAAAGAGAAGGAAACTGGATGGAAATTTATTTTGAAAAGCAGGAAGTTGAGTATGTTTGATCACCACTAAATTGTTTTTAGGAAATCAGTGTTTGAGCCGGCTGTAATTCATTTGTAGATTTTGTCCATCTCATAACCTCTGCATTTTCTTAATAAATGCTACTTGTGACTTTCAGTATTGCACATGTTTTTGAATAATACTTTTCCTGTTGTTTTTATTTAGGCACTGAAGAAGCAAGAAGCTAAAGCAGATGACAGTGAGGAAGCAATGAAAAATAAGCTAAGACAAACGGAAACTGAGAAGAGTCAAGTAAGATTTTGAAAGTTATCCTTCATTGTTGTTGTTGTTAGGTGCCATCGAGTCATTACCAACTCATAGCAAACCTATGCACAGTAGAACGAAACACTGCCTGGTCCTGTGCCAACCTCACAATCGTTGCTATGATTGAACCCATCGCTGTTATCTTTCATAGAATAATGCTTTTTGGGTCCAGTGAAAATTAATGAGTGCCTTGAAATGTGTCTGTAAGATCATTTATTAAAACACAGTGAAGTCTATGTTTGGATGTGGAGTCAGTTGGTATGATAGTTCTGCCATTTGCTGTTAACTGCCCTCAGAAATATGTAGAGATAATTTGTCACCTTGTCTATAACTGCTCTGCTTTCCTGGGGGAGTTGAGCTTTACCTTTCCTAATGGGGACCATTCAAAGAGCTAGACTTTGCTACAGGTATAGAAAAGACTTGTTTGAAGGCTGGATATTTTCGACATATTTGTTTTCATTATAGAAGGTGGTTGTTGTAAAGTGCTGTCGAGTCAGTTCCCCATATAGGGTTTCCCATATGAGTTTGAACCATCAACCTGTGGTTAACAGTCCAGCGCTTATTCATTTGAAAACATACTCTAGTCTCATAACTATTAATGACCTTTAACTTAAATTCATGTTTGTGAGCATATGGAGCCTAGCAGTTTAGAGTTAGTAAGGAATTTAGATGTGATGAATAGACTTAAGAGTGAAGCCAATGTAGTGCATGATAATGCAAAAATTTGACTTGATTTAATGTTCATATTTCTATATTATGTTTTCTGTCTACCCCTTTGGAGCTGAGGGTGTTTGTATATCACATAGGGATCATGAGCAGTATGGTCCTTGGTCAATTTCAATCCATCTTTTTTTTTTTTTTAATTTAAGATTTTTATTGTGGATTGAGTGAAAGTTTACAGGGCACATCATCAGTTTCACATTCAACAATTCATATAACTTGTTTCATTACATTGATTATAATCCCC